GTCCTCAGACCCTCACAAAGGGGATGACAAAGAGGAGGATGTGGTAAGCGAAGAAGAACCCTCTAAGTTGGGGGCAGTGTATTGTATGTATGATATGGGAAAAGAGACGTCAGGAGATAAGGGTCGGGCTACCAACCTAATGTATGTAGATGTCTTGATAAATGGGAAGAAGGCTCAAGCGATGGTTGATACAGGAGCTACTCATAATTTTGTCACAAAGCGTGAGGCGAACAGATTAGGGCTAAAAGCCGTGCATAATGGTAGTCGCATGAAAACTGTGAACTCTGAAGCACAACCGACTTGCGGCGTGGAAAAGAGTGTGACCACTAAGATTAGGGAATGAAGTGGGAGTCTGGACTTCACGGTGGCAACCATGGATGATTTTGTACTGGTCCTTGGGATGGATTTCCTACACACCAGCAAGGCTGTCCCGATGCCCCACCTAGGGTCCTTACTTGTGACAAGCCACCAACCGTGCCTCTTACGGACACATGCTCAGGCTGAAGAAGGAAAAGAACTGAAAGGTCCCCTCCTTTCGGTGATGCAACACAAAAAGGGGATGAGGAGAAATGAGCCTACGTTCCTCGCCACTTTCTCGATGAAGGATGAGGAGGTCGGAGGTGACATCCCGGAAGTCATAGGAGAGTTGCTCAGGGAATATGCAGACATCCTTCCTAAGGAGCTCCCAAAATCTCTTCCTCCTCGAAGGACCATAGATCACAGTATTCAACTGGTGCCAGGTGCTAGACCACCCGCGCGAAGCCCCTACCGAATGGCCCCTCCGGAACTCGCAGAGTTGCGCAAACAGCTAGATGGGTTGTTGGAAGCCGGGTTTATCCGACCCTCCAGAGCTCCCTATGGAGCACCAGACCTTTTCCAGAAGAAGCGCGATGGGAGTTTGAGATTGTGTATCGACTACAGAGCCTTGAACAAGCTGACGGTGAGAAATCACTATCCGATACCCTTGGTGGAAAACTTGTTCGATCAGCTAGGAGACGTTGTGTACTTCACTAAGCTTGATCTTAGGTTCGGCTACCATCAGGTTCGAATTCTCAAGGAGATGAACCAAAGACGGATTGCGTCACCAGATACGACGCGTTCAAGTGGTTGGTCATGCCATTTGGGCTGACAAATACGCCTGGCCTGCAACATTTGGTACCTTGATGAATCAATTCTTCCACGACTACCATGATAAGTTTGTGGTTGTTTATTTAGACGACATTGTAATCTTCAACAACACCCTCGAAGATCACTTAGAACACCTGAGGAAGGTGTTTAAGAAATTGAGACAGCATTATCTGTTCGTGAAGTGGGAGAAATGTGCTTTTGCGAAGAAGAAGTAAGCTTCCTTGGACATTTTGTAGGAGGAGGCCGCATAAGAATGGATCCTAAGAAAATCCAAGCCATTAGTGATTGGCAAGCTCCGAAGAACGTCTCATAGTTAAGGTCGTTCTTGGGGTTGGCTAATTACTATCGTCGCTTCATTTAGGGATATTCAGAGATAGCAATTCCCCTCATGGACTTGTTGAAGAAAGACAACAAGTGGAATTGGTTGGAGAAACAACAAGAGGCTTTCTTCAAGCTCAAAGAAGCAGTAATGAAGGAGCCGGTTTTAGCTCTTCCTAACATCAACAAACCGTTGAAGTCGAGACAGATGCGTTCGATTATGCATTGGGCGGGGTCTTACTCCAAGAAGGTCACCCAGTTGCTTATGAGAGCCGGAAGCTAAGTTGAGTGATGCCGAAAGGAGGTATGCTGCACAAGAAAAAGAGCTTTTAGCCATTGTTCACTGCTTGAAGGGGTGGAGACACTAGTTGTTGGGGGCGAAGTTCATTGTTCGCACCGATAACACAGCAGCCAGTTACTTCCTCACCCGACCAAAATTAACTGGGAAGCAAGCTCGTTGGCAGGAGGTACTGGTAGACTTCGATGTGGAGTTTATGTATAAGACAGCAGCCAGTAACAAGGTCGCTGATGCTTTGAGCCGTCATGCCGATATGGCCCCTCTACAAAGACTATCTCCCATGTCAGTCAGCAACGTCACCACCTCAGTCAAAGAATAGGTCAAACAACACCTCTCAAAAGATCCTATAACGGACACCATTAAAGGCTGATAGAAGAAGGAAAGATAAGACGCTCCTTGATAGCCGATGGGCTCATTTACACTAAAGGTAACAAGCTATTCATACCAAAGGCGAGAGGCCTACGGAAGATGCTCTTAAAAGAATGCCATGATACCCTATGGGCTGGGCATCCAGGTTGGAAAAGGACTTTAAGCTTACTCTCTTTGGGGTATTATTGGCCGGGAATGAAAGAAGATGTCATTAGTTACACCCGGACCTGCTTGGTTTGTCAACATGACAAAGTGGATCGTTAGAAACCTGGAGGCCTCTTAGATCCTCTTCCTGTGCCGACACGTCCGTGGGAAAGCATATCTATGGACTTCATCAATGGTCTCCCCAAGGTGGATCAGTATTTAGAAGTAATGGTGGTGATGGACATATTCTCAAAATATGCCACCTTTGTTCCCCTGCAGAAAGCTTGTGGTGCTGAGGAGATAGCGGCATTGTTCTTCAAACACATCGTGAAGTATTGGAGTTTGCCCCAAAGCATAGTCAGTGACCGAGATACAAGATTCACGAGCATATTTTGGACAGAATTGTTCAAACTGATGGGGTCGGACTTAAACATGTCTTCAAGCCACCACCCTCAATCTGATGGCCAAACAGAGAGATCCAACGGTCTCTTAGAGGAACACTTGAGACATTTTGTTAGCGCTAATCAAAAAGATTGGGTGAAGCTCCTTGATGTTGCCCAACTTTGCTTCAACGCCCAGAAGAGTACCGCATCCAACAGAAGCCCGTTTGAATAGGTGATGGGCCAACAACCTCTCCTGCCTCACACCATAACAACATCCGAAGATGGGAGGAGCCGCGAAGCACGGGAGTTCAAGTGAGAGTGGCAGCAAAACATGGAAGTTGCTCGCGCTTACTTAGAGCGGGCAGCGAGGAGAATGAAGAAATGGGCGGACCAGAATAGAAGGCCGCTGGAATTTGGTGTAGGGGACATGGTGATGGTGAAAGTCCTCCCAGAACAGCTCAAGTTCCTTAGAGGAAGAGATCGCAGACTGATCAGAAAATATGAAGGCCCCATCCGCGTCACTAAATGGATTGCAAAGAATGCTTACAAGGTCGAGCCGCCTACGTGGATGAAGATACACCCCGTCTTCCACGTTAGCCGCCTCAAACCTTATCATCCAGATCGAAAAGACAGCAACCGCAACATCAGCAACCGCGCCAACATCAGAACCAAGACGAGAGCCACACCTGCAACAGAAGAGTGAAGCTACTATTTCTCTTTCTTTAAGTGTATGTTTTGTTTTGTAAGTCGACGAGGTCGTCGACGACTTAAGTGGGGGAGGATGTTAGAATCCGCCTCTTTCTCTATGTATCCCCCTTCCCTTTTCCTTGTATTTTCCTTATGTATTGTCTTCTAAGTCTTTCTTTATGCTTTCTAGGCTCTAGGAAGAATTATTGTGTTACTGTAGTTTCAATGTTCACTAGTAATTCTCTATGTAATCAATATAAAGCTCTTTAGGGAGCGAATGGTTGAATGAATCAAAGCTCCTTACCCCGTTGTCTATTGCTTTAAGACTTGTGTGTTGATTTAAGCCTTTATAGATATTGTGTTTGCCTTATTTTAAAGCATCCCCTCCAAACCAAGAGAACCTCAAAAGACGCCTTCATTGTCGTCAGTCCCGCTTGTGCCCGCTTCGAAATATCAGCCGTCACAAGCCCCGATTCCGCACTCGTTGTTGACGAGTGCCTCCTTGAGATACCTTTAGTCCGTGTTGCTCTGTGCTCACGAATCCTTTCCTCCCTAGGCTTGCGTCCTTGTCGCCAAAAGATAAGAGCGCGTCGCACGATCCTGTGTAAGAACTCTCGAACCGTGACACACTGTTATGCCAGTTGTGAAGGACATTGTTTAGTAAACATCGTTAACGCCTAGACGTCGTGAAGAAATGAAATAACCCTATCCATCGTTGTTAAGTCGTTTGTTAAAAGAAGTTATATGAAATGAAGAGAGAGAAACATCTTAATTAAAGAGCAAAATCTGGATTGAAGTTATGTTGTTCAACTTTCTTTCACTTCATGCCATCACACTTGATTAACATCTAAAGCTGACCGATAAACAAAATTTACAAATATAACCCTAATGCTCAAATAAAAGCACATAACTACCCTTAGATAAACATTCCAATTAAGTTTATCACGGTTATAAACTTAGATTTCTTTCGAAGAAATTAACAATCAAGAAAATACTAGTTTCTCTCTGTGATAAACTAAAACATTTTATCACATAACATTTTCGTAAATAAATCAACTATTTTTTCATTAATTATATTTTCATTAATATGGGCTCTACAGTTGATGATGATTGGATAAAATTGTTGAATTATATACAAAAATGGTAATCTGATAAACAAAATTCTTGAATGAGAGAAACCGGGGCAAGCTCAATACAAAAGTACGAAGTAACAAACTATTGATGCTTGATTTTTTTATTCAGCCTTATTTAAGCAAGCTTTTGTGGTTTTAGGCCCTATTCACTTCACCTTAAAAAAAATATTAAGTAAAAATAATTTCAATTCAGTAAAATTAATTTCAGTTCAGTAAAAATAAGTGCAGTTCTGTAAAAATAAGTTCAGTTCAGTAAAATTCAGTAACTATAAAGAAGAAATATAATAGAAAAACAGTAAAATTAATTTCAGTTCAGCAAAAATAATTTCAGTTCAGTAAAATTAATTTTAGTTCATTAAAAATAATTTAAGTTCAGCAAAAATAATTTTAGTGCAGTAAAAATAATTTCAGTTCAGCAAAAATAAGGTGAAGTGCACGGTGCAAAATGAGGGATTAGACATTTAGACATACTAATGAGGGCATTTTTGGAATAAAAAATACACAATCATTTTGAACTTGTATTTCCCTTTCATTCCTCCATTTTCCCTCCCTAATTTCCCCCAAATTTTCAGATTTTCCCTCCTTTTTCTTTCGCCTACAAATTAAAGACTCAATTTTTCTGGGTTTCTCTTATTTTCAATCTCATTTCAAAGTTCTTAGATTCGTCTTCCTTTACTTCATCTTCTTTACTCGCCACCATATTTGTGTTCTTAAGCAGGTAAAATTTATTCTGCAATTTACTTTTATTTTGTTGTTATTCTGATTTTCTAGGGTTCCCTTTTCAATTCATTTGATTCTATGATCTGGGTATCTATCCAATTTGTTATTGCTTTATAAATTTGCTTTCTTTCTATTGAATTGTATTTTTGGAACTTCGATTTTGGATTTCGTTTGTTCATTTGTTGGAATTAAATTTTAGGGTTTAATTCGCGATTAGGGTTACACCTTTTAATCGTGGTTTAGCAAATCTTTACACAATTTGGAATGTTTGATTCTGAATTTGGTGGTTTGTTTACTACTTTACTTGATTTCAGTTTACAGCACTTGTGCTGTTATGCTCTAAGAGTTCTTAATTTGTTGATTAAACTGTTGCTGGGGATAAAGAAACTCATAACGAAATGAAGTTTTTACGATTTGTGGTGAAGCTGTTGTGTACTTTGCTTTTCAGTTGGTGTTATGATGTTTAATTAGCTAATTGATGTGTGGAGGTTTCTTGTTTTTTGTTGAATCAAGCACCGAAATCAGACAATTTTTCATGAATTACATGTTCTTTTGCTTGAGCCTTGAGTAATGATTAAATAGTAGCACAAATTTAATATTTGAATGGATTAATCTTGAATGGTGCAAATGAATTCTCTTTCGTTTTTGGCTATAAATTTCTAGCTTCATCCTCGCTAGACTATTTTCAGTATTATGCTTAAATCTCAAAACCAGATTTCTCATTCTTGTTAAGGTTCTTAAATCTTGGTGTATTAATTGATCAATAAATAAGGGGCTTTTTTTTTCTTTCTTTTACAGTCAGAAAGAAATTCGATGAGTGCAGTCAACATTACTAATGTTGCCATTTTGGATAATCCAGCACCGTTTCTCAGTCCATTTCAATTCGAGATGTCCTATGAGTGTGTCGTTTCTCTTAAAGATGGTAGGTCACTCTAGCTTTGTAAATTATGCATACCATATAATCCGTTTTAATTTGACTTGTTCTTGGCATTTACATGTACTTGAATAGTGCAAATATTGAGAGCCAATATGTTTTCCATTAGAATTGATATCGTATTGTTGCCTGGAAAGTGAATATCAGTTGATAGGGATGAAAATTTTCTTAATATGGGGGTCTTGTTAAAAGTTAAAATTTTTGAATAGCTTACATAGGCATGCATATGTCATGTGCACATAAGCATGCATCCCTGTGGACTGTGGTAGACTGGTTGGGCAAGTTTGTGTGTGCGAGCGTGACAAGGAGTGTCTGTACAGGTGTGAATGATGTGTTGAAGATTAGCCCATAGTGCTCCTAATGGAGGATGACAGGGGTAGAAGGCAACATAAAAGCAGAAAGTGAGTAAAACCTATAAGGGCATGCTTGGATTGAGGGAGATGTATTACTAGGGTAATAAAAGTCAAGCTAAGCAAAATGAAAGTGAATATAGGGAAGGAGGAGATAGTGATGGTGTGATTGTAAGGAAAATTATGTAGTGATGATGTGGTATGAGGTGAAGAAAGAAGAACTAATACCTCATTTTGGGGGTAATAGTTACACTAGAGGGAGTGGATAACTATTACCTTCATTATGAGGGTAATAATTCCTCCATCTCTCTCTTTTCCTTATGGCACAACTACTTTATTTTATTTGTAAACACTTTGTCTCTTATAACAACCCCTCTAAATTCTTATGTTTTTTCAAGTTTGATTTTTATTACCCCCAATCCAAGCATGGCCTAAAACTGCATACTATAAGGAATGGAGGGAACTACAATGAGGTGGAGAACCTTTAAGCAATATAACTTTCACGACTATCAATTCTTTTACCCTTAACTACCTTAGGCATTTATTTCAGTAGGGAGAAGAGGAAGGCAGCATAAAACTTTCCACACCTTCACTTAGGCAGCAGGATCCTCACTGGGTTGTTTGCTGTCTTCTTTACTGGCCAAAATATATTGAGCAAATGAGGGGCATCTATTCTTTTACTAACCTTGGAAATTTGGAATGTACAATATATCTAGCGTTACACAGGATGTAAGTAATGGAACTATGGAAGAAATAATGGTTTCATATTCTATACTAGCGCTCTTTTTTGGTAGTTTGTAGCTTTGACTGTCTTATTATTGGTCTGACATAAGCAACATTATGGATACACTATGTAGCAGAAAGAACCATAACATGAGAAATTTTAGAATTGGGGCTTAGGCAAATCATTTGAATAATGGAGGCTGGCTAAGCTACTTCTACAATATCATAACCGTAACATTTTGTGTTGGATTTTTGAAATTTTGCGGATGTGGTCATCAAATTAGTGGTTGTTCAAGTGTGGTTGCTTTGTATAATCATTTACAGATATAGAATGGAAACTCATCTATGTGGGATCAGCTGAAGATGAGACTTATGATCAACTCTTGGAAAGCGTGCTTGTAGGACCTGTCAACGTGGGCAACTATCGTTTTGTTCTTCAGGTTATCTATCATAGTATCGTCCTTTTGCTACAAATTTTGGTTGCCAATAATGTGAGAATGTCATATCTATGAACTTTGTGCCTCATTTCAGGCAGACCCACCAGATCCATCCAAAATTCGCGAAGAAGATATCATTGGTGTCACGGTGTTGCTATTGACATGCTCTTACATGGGACAAGAATTTATCAGAGTTGGATATTATGTGAACAATGACTATGACAATGAACAATTAAGAGAAGAACCACCTCAGAAGGTGTTGCTTGATAGAGTTCAAAGGAATATTTTGACTGATAAGCCAAGGGTTACAAAATTTCCCATAAATTTTCACCCAGAAGAGACTGAACACAGTGAGCAGCCTGCAGCATCACCTCATGAGCAACCTGCAGAAATCATTGATCAAGAGCAACTTCCACCACAAGAGCAGCCTGCAGAAAGCAATGGACAGAACAAAATCCCGCCACCATCACCATCTCTGGATAAGCCGGAATAGATTTTCGCAAAATAATTGTAGTTGCTTCTTGCTGATAGCAAGAGAGAACTAGTCACAATGATTTTGATAGCAATTCTAGAGGATGTGAAACCGCATAGAAATCATACAATGTGAATTGTTTTAGGAGATGCTCAAATGTACACAGTACGCTTGTATTGTTAGATCAGCAATCACATACTAGTTTGAACCTCATTATTTATAATGATCAGCCTTCAGTTTTGAGATCTTAGTGTGCTCCTGGTTTAGTGTATCTTATTGTTACTGTAAGTCTGTAACCATGTGCATGTCTATGGTCATGTCCGTCAAACTTCAAAGACATTACTTTGATTTCTGGTAACTGAGTTTTATGTCGTGTTTGTTTCCTTTTTCCTTGTTCATCTTCATATAAGGGGAAGAAAAATCGAAGTTTTTTAGTTAATAATGGTTTGCATTCATTTTGGACAAACACAACCCGTTTTTGGCCATTGGCCCCCTTTGGCACCAAAGTAACGTTAATACACTTCTTTATTGATACCAATAAGAGTTTAGGTTTCGATGATACTATACTCCGTAATTGTTGGTAAGTATTACCCATGCACCAAAAAGTAATCCCTCCTGTCCCTTAAAAATGCTCCATTATTAAGCTCCACTTCCTCATTGTACTGAGCTTCCTTAGAAGTTTGAACACTAACCCATCTGATACGGAACGAGTTATCAGTTTCAATATGCTAGTACATATTAGTAATTTTATAGGCTGTGTACCCCTAAATGAAGAGAAGGGCAGAGAAAAATTGAATTCGAGGAACAAAACTGTCATTACTTTTTTCAAGTTTCAATAATTTACATCAAATGCTTTGCAACTTTACAGCACTATTTATGCTGCAGGAACATAACAAAATTTATTAATGTCTACTTTGTTTCAATGCAACTTCTCTTTAAATATGCTTCACAGCTCCCCATTAATCCTTTTTGTACACACTCAGAGGAGCAGCATGTATAATGTACAGCAGAATCTGAGGTTTGTTATTCGCGATAGACATGCTGAGGCGACCACTTCAAATACAAATTCACGGTACCTGTTTTAGCTCCATCCAATGGGAAACTTTCTCTATATTCCCCTTCTAGTATAACCCTTGTCAATGTCAAGATGCATCTACCCATATAGTCCTGCAGAGTTCAGGTAGGAATTATAACACTTTCTAGTTGAAACAAGGAATTGCTTTGATAAATAATTTGTTGAATACGGATATGATTTAGTAGCTACTGAATAACGTGGATAATTACTAAGATAAAGCAAGTTCATCAAGCAATTAAAACAAACATGCCATGCTAACCCAAGGATCCAAAGTAAATAAGTTCAATACCCAACCCCCCCAACCACCCCCCCCCCCCCCGCCCCAAAAAAAAATTAAATAAATAAATAAAAAGAGTAGCAGTTGTGAGGGAATAGTATAAGCCACAACGGAAACTTTGACATCTTTGAGTTAACTAACTCCCCAACTACCACAACCACCAAAAAAATCCTTGACTTCAAAGTCAACCTTTTAAGCTTTTTTCAAGTAAGTTTTAAAGAGTATTGATGAACATAAATCCGTACCTTTCCAAATGTGTCATGATCCCATACTTCCAGCATTAGCATGTCATGAAGCCCATCCTCAACAAGGAAGTCGAATGTTTGGTTCCAAACTGGATTCAAGCTTTCATTCACAACCTGGGAGCACAAAAATTATCATGTTACACAAAATTTTCTATTAAATCAACTAATAACAAGACAATTGACTGCTAAATAAGCATCCACCCACACAAGACAATTGACTACTAAATAAGCATCCACCCACATAAACTTTTCTATAAAATCAACTAAAACAGAAAGGAACAAAATATCCTGTATTTGGTCATCCAATACTTACTCTAGTTTTGTTTTTTGTTTGAGATTTTTTCATAGTAAGTATCACATAAGGGTCTGACTTGCCCGTAAAATCTACTGCTGGCAAGTCATCAGCAGAAATCACTGTTACAGACAGCACTCCTCTGACGATAACCTCTCTCTTCTTGGGAGCAAAACTAGATCCATTTTCGACTTCTTGAATCCCATCTTCAGTTTTGAGAACCTTCTCCAAAGAAGTCATAGAGGATGCAAAAGGATTTGTAACATTCTCAGCACCAAAAGGACAGTATAAAAGCTCCACATGTACCTACAAAAGACAATGAAACAACTCTATTAAGGACATAACACAAAGAAAGAGATCTCAAATAGTAAAAATATGCTAGATATAGTTTTCAGCAAGCTTGAATTTTGCTATTTAAGCTTGTTTGTTTACTAAGCGAAATCAGATCAAACTAGTTCACTGAAAAAATTAATAAATTCCCTAAATGTTTGTATGTATATGTATTTAAGAAAAATGATGAAGTATACGTAGAGAATGTATTAAGATTCAATTTTTTCATTTGAGTGGGTCCTCACAATTATATATCATTCTTTATTGCTTTTTAGTTCACTTTTACTCTTACATTGTCTCAACTCTTTTAAAAAACATATAACCACTATTTTCTTCTTTTATTGACAACTAATCAACAAAACTCCACAACGATTGTTCTACTCTAAATAGGGACGAAGGAATTATATATTTATGTGGAGGACCTGAAGTTTCATCAGATGTAGTAAAAAATTGGCTAAGATAGTAAAGCTTAAAATTCATATGAATAAATATACTAATTTTAATTCACAAAAGATTGTTTTATAGAAGATGTGGTAGATTTCTAGTTCACAAGGCTGGTTAGACTTATTAATACTCAAATTTTGCATAAATATAATCCAATAACTTCTAACAGCTATGATAATAGCAATTAGTCATGAGTCCAAAATTTGGTCATGGAAATTAATGTACTAAAATACTTTCTCACCTGCCCCCTATTTTTAGCATCTCTCTGAACCTCTAAATCTTTGACTAGCTTGAGCCAGACATCCTTCACTTTACCAGGCTCAAGATCTTTTAGCTGGAACTGAGCACAGCCTATAAGTTCAGCAGCCTGAAGACCTTCATCATCAAAAATTTTAACCACCAAGTGTTGGGTAGATTTATCTTCAATTATGAATTCGAAGTGTTCATTCCAGATTGGGTTCAACTGGTTATTCTGAGGATCCAATTAAAGAAGAAAAAAAAAAAATTAATTCAAAGTATACATATCAATAAATAAAAGCAAAAAAACTCCGAAGATATGATAACCAATTACTTACAATTGTCTTACTGGTCTTTGTCCTGTCACGTGTTGGTCGTACATATAAAACAGCAAAAGGATCTGATTTTCCAATCAGATCTTTATTTGTCAGTTCTTTAGCTTGCACAAGCTTCACCTCTAGCATCCCAACAGGCTTTAATTCCAAGTCACTGATGATACAGATATTGTAAATCAGAATGGCATTCCAACATCAATACTATGGCTCAATTAAATATTTTCCTCTGTCATGTCATGTACCTATAGTCCCCAGGCAGAATGGGGATAATTTTTCGAACAGGCCACATGATGGAATCCTCAATTGCGTCCCTTATTGTGCCCTGCACAGACAAAAGTGATGTTCAATTCATCTCAAAGGAAACAAAATGCCTTAACAAGAAAGCAAGGCAAAGCATAACAGCTACAGCACTTCAAAATGAAAAGGAATCACTTACACATTGATAATGAATATATATACTCTATTCAATACCCCACTAGAACACCAAAACTTTTAAACATTAGAAGCATTAACATTGTTGGGGTTGCAAGCCCAACAAGAGGAATAAGTTTCGTTGGTACATGTGGATGTTTGGTAAGTTGAGTTTAAGGGAAGGTTTGTTAGGAAATAAACTAAACTTACCAAATACCAACGAGATTTTTTTTTGGGAAAAGATATGATGTATCGTTTATGCTTTCTTAGTTAGATGAGGATTGTAATTAGGAAACTAGATAGATTTTAGGTATGTATAATCAATCTAGGATTATTTAGGCTTGGGGAGCAAGTTGATGTGGGTTTCTAGGTTAGCCTAATCAATGATGATTTATTGAGGAGGAAAATCATCAAGAGGGTGAAAAACGATGGTTTATTGAGGAGGAAAATCATCAAGAGTAGGGGTGCTAATCGAGTTGAGCAGCTCGTGAGCAACTCGGTCAAAGCTCGGTCAAAACTCGGCTCGAGTTGGCTCGACTCGAATTCGACTCGAGATGTTAACGAGCACGAGGTGAGCAAGCTCTAACTCGACTCGATAAGCTCGTGAGCAATTCGATAATGTATTTTATTAATATAGAATTTACGAAGAAAGTTACAAATTTAACACTTAATAAGAGTTAATTTATATTATCAGAAAAGAAAGAGTAAATCTTTAATAATAAATAAAAGAAAACTATATAAAGTGAACAAAAAAATAAAGACCTATAATTTTAGAAGGGCCAAAACTTTAACGAGCAAATCGTGAGCTACTCGACTCGACTCAGTCGAGCACGAGTTGAGCATATGTAAAAAGTTTTTGAGTCGAGTCGAGCACCCCTTAGCTCGTGATCGACTCGCTCGATTAGCACCCCTAATCAAGAGGGTTATTGTCTTATTTTGTAGGAACTTAATAATACAATATTTTGTTTGATGGGGGGAAATCTAAATTTCCTCATAAACATTGTCTCTTTTATTGTCGTACTTTGCTATTTATTCTATATTGTGTTTGAGGGTGAGTTCCCAAGTCGTTCCATTGCACACTTCCGTTATAACAAACATGAACCTCAAATTTTTAACATTAAAAACATTACAGGTTAATTTTTTTATCAGAATATAATGCTGTCTATACAGACCATACCTAAGATCTCATTGGGTATCTCCATATATTCAAAATTAATTTAACTAATACTTTCATACTAACAACTGGCAACTAATTGGCAGGACTTCTCCTTTTAAAAGCTTGTTTTAGTTTTTCTGATTCACAACTGGCAACTAGTTGGCAAGACTTCTCCTTTTAAAAGCTTGTTTTAGTTTTTCTGTTTCATACTAACACAATGTACAGTTTATTTCTCCAGAGGTCTAATCTGATTAAGGATAAGCCTACATATGTCTGACACACATTCTGCCTATTTTTTATACCAAATGGCACTCCAAAATTGTTATATATTGCAAGGTTATCTAGAGACCCATGTTCCTAATCAGTTGCATCAGGACAAAACAATCATATTTCCAGTGGAAGAGCATAAACAAGAGGAAGATAAACAAAAGTTAGCATGAGGTGATATGGCTAGTAGTCCGGTACCATTTACAATTACAGGTAATAGGCTCACATGGACACATAATAAGAGGCAAAAAGAGAAAAGAGCATTCAACATACAATCAATTTACAGCACTCAATGTTATATAGACAAAACCTGGATAATACAAAAATAAATATAAAATAAATATATAAATAAATAAATAAAACATGATTATACCTCAATAGCATCAGAAAGCCCCGGGATTGTACTTATATCTCCACCAATAACCTTAAGAGTCAAGTCCAACTTTTTCTGCAATGTCAAGGCATGGATATCTAATGAGAGGCTAAATGCAAGTTTTGCAACATACACAAACAAGAATGGGAATTTTGAAAATGAGTTTCCTGAGCACAGCATATGGCCTTTGTCAAGGCAGTTAAACTTGGACAAAATTATGTAACCCTCCCCCCCCCCAACACACACAACAACAACACAACACACACACAAACTACTTACCTTCCTATTATGGTAAAACTGAAGGAAGCTACTCAAGAATCACATCAAATAAGTATCATATGCTAAACTTCAACACTGTCAAACACATAACATATTGCATTTGAACCTCCATTTATTCTAATTTGGTGAGAGAAATTGCACGAAATTCCAGTAACAGTATTACGGTCATCCAGAAGCCATGATTGGTGATCCATAGCGTTGAGTAATGCAACTATCCTTCAAAATTTGTCACAAAGGCAAGAATATTTACAGCAGTGCATTACCTTTTTTCTCAAAGAGAAGCTGACAGCTCCGAACCCTGGAAACTCCGCAACTAAAGGCTTAAAGATCAGCCTGAAAACTCCAGTGAATCCAATATCTTTAACCTACATCAAGAATGCCAATAAATCGCCAAGGACAAGTTTCAATACTTACGTTATAGCCAAGTACTACTTTCCTTTGAATCAGCTAACAAAAACAAAGTAATTAACTACAAATAGGACTAGTCATGACTATTACATCCTTAAATTCTCACGAATTGGCTTTATTTATAACCTATTTTTCTTCTGAAGAATGTCTACAGTTTAACAAATACTTGCAATAGCATTTGCATGATTTTAGTTGCAGTCCGACAGAGAGCTATGTTGTTGAGCTTATAATAATGAAAATTGAAACATTGATTCTCAACAGGAATCAAACAACAGACTATCAGAAGATAGTTACAGTAACAGGCATATATATTACTTTGTAAGAAAGAGTACTGTACCAAAACATATACATGTAAATATCAAAGACAGGCTTTTACAACCAAATGGTTGACTAGCTTGTTTAAAAAAATCTAACAAATTGCTTTACCTGGACAGGAAGTGATAAACCAAGTTTAGTTTTAATATCAAGAATAATGCTCGGATTTCCATCCCAATTCATCTCTAACTCCATAGTGACACCTTCACCTGCATCTTCAAGAATTGAAACCCCTGAAAGAACAAAAGCAGCAACAACAGCATTATTTTTTATGTAAATGTTCTTGCAACAGAACGTAACTATATATTGTTTACAAGCTGTGTAATTTCAGCAGGTAATTTCCTACACCCTATTATAAGTAGTCCACGTGAAATTAATCATAACTTAGTCTATCTAAAACATAACCGTCTTTGTTTTTCCATTAGCACAACCAACTTTATGCTGTTTGCAAAGAACAAACTAAGCTACATTAACCAATGTACCTTGAATTCCCATTCCCCTTCTCATTTTTCTTCTCTCACCCCTACAAGAAAATTAAACCATCCTAAGCTCTATCATATTGAGTTTTTCAAAAACAACTAAATTATTTAAATCAACAGGGAAGGAAGAAGTAACTCCTCAAGTAGCAAAAAAATATGCCCGTATATAGCAGCAATAATTGCAATGAGTGAAGAAAACATTATCAAAGACATGACAAGGTGGGTCTTTAGAGGGGCAAAGCTGGTTTTTCACCATTTTCACCTAGGCAGGATAATGATGGAAAAAAAAGAAAAAAAAAAAAAAGATTAAATTAATTTGCATTGAATTTCCATCGTATAGTTTCTGTGCGGTCTACATATAGTTTGTCCCAGCTACAAGCCCAGTCAACACAACTTCATGTCAGTGTATGCTTACGAATGATATATATTGATACTAAAATTTCTCAATTTCAAGCCATGGAGCATGTCTTATGCTACATCAATAGCACAGTTTATTATTAACTACATATCATTTCTACTATCACTGCCAATACAGACAGAAATTGGGGCGCATTACTCTACTACAAGTCATTGTGATATCCGGCAACAATATCATCTCTTGGTCTTCAAAGTGTAAGGAAACCCAATCCATTCTAGTGCCAAGGCAAAATATTGTGGGGATCCCAATGCCATTACTAGCAAATGTTGCATTCAAAACTTACTCCGTGAACTTCGTATAATCTCCGCTTGAGCGCGCAAATATAGTGTAAGATCTTAGCATTGTATACCTTTTTAATAACCCAAGGATATCAGGCCATCATCACACATGTGGAATTGAACATGCATTTTGATAAGAGAGAGGAAATGGTTTTTATTTTATATCATGTACACGTTACACGTATCTATGTTGTACTTGTATTTTGGTACATATCCCTTATACCTACATACTCCAAAAGTCCAATGTATCCTTTAACCGCATACATGATAAAACATGGATGAAGGACCCCGGAAGTAGCCGGGGACTAAACTCGTTCTCACTAATTCTACCATCAAACAAAGCTGACCCAAATATACAGAGTATGAACTAATAATGTATAGACAAACAAAAACAATCCAAGAATAAAAGCAACATTACTAGTACCTGTAAATTGAGGAGCAACAGTTCCAAGAGTGAACTTGGAAAATTTTAAGGAAGACAATATAATCGGCCTATATTGCTCTAGTAGTGGCTCCACTGACTCCCTTATTAGCTCTGATGCTGCCTATTAATAACACAATCAACACCCAAAACTAAATAACAAAATAGAACAATATTCACATTTTAAAATATAAACAAATACATTCTTTTTTTTAAAAGGGAGGGGTAAACCTATATGACAATGTCTATCTCTATACCAATATTTTATAACACAATAACTTTCATGCCACTTATCAAATTTATCATTCCTTTAAAATCGCCTTTTTTTTATTTTATTTCTAAATAAAGATCTTGTCCAACCCTTCCTATACTTTTACTTTAAAAATTTATTTTATATACATAACATCTCAATATTCATCAATATTACTGTATTACTTGGTTAGTTCATTGCTTTTTTTTATAAAGCCTATTTATTTATTTTCACCAATACCATTATGTAAATTTGATTAATAGATGGGCTAAAATCTAGGAATTAAAAGAAATTACCTGATCAACAAAAGGCCAAATTTTGGTGAGATGGGAATTAAGCCAATTCAACTGCAAATTACAACCACAAAAAAAGGGAGTAAAATCAGCAACCAAAAAACGTCGTTTACAAGAATAATAAATGAAAATAAATTGAAATTGAAAGAAAAAGAGAGGAAAAAAAAGGACTTTTTGACGATTGGAGAAGACAACCCAAGAAGGGTAGTAAGGAGGAGGAAGCAACTTTCTAGAATCTTCCACTGTCATTCTAGAAAACGCCGCAATTGTTTCTGCCTACAAAAATTTCGCACAAAAATTAAGATTAAATTAAGATTACCCATCAAAAATTCAATGAAAAAATTATGGAATCAATTTATTTTTCAAAAATTATTAAAAGAAAAAATTACCAGTTGAGAACGAGATTTGGATCTGGCATTTTCACAGCGAACAAAAGCGACGATAATTAAAAGACCAACTACAGTTCCCATGAATAATCCCATAAAAAAAGACATTTTTTTCTGCAATTTTGAAACAAAATTCCTACTTTAAAGCTCACTGTATTTAATATTCTAAACTTTTTCTAATTTCTACTAAAAATTGATGATTTTTTAGGTGAAGCTTTATGGGTTATTTGAGAGCAGCTGCTGCGATTGCAGAGAGAAAACAATGGCGGGTTGTCTGATAAAAATTTTGAAAAATTAAAATAAAATTTTGTTTTTAGGTTTTAGAGGAAGTTTAAGAGAATTAAGAAATGGAGTGAATTTGACTAAAAAAGTGTGATTTGATTTGTTGGGGGTACTTTTTGTTACCTTCCAATCAAATATTTTTATTAAAGAGATGATAAAAAAATAAAAATTAAAAAAAAAAAAAAAAAAAAAAAAAAAAAAAGGTTGAAGGGTTGTTTAACTATAACGCTTCGTTTCCTAACTTTGTTGCCGACATTTTTTAATTTTATTTATGTTTAGCATTTTAGCACTTGTTTGTTTGATATTGGAATTTACTTCCCATATTAATTTGTATGGACTATGGAGTATGTTATACGAATTAAATACCTAAATCAAATTCTTAGAAATTGCCTAAAATTATTTGGTAAAATTACAGAAAAGTGGGAATTTTGACATTAATTTATGTTATTACATTATTTTGGGAAATCAAAGTTGAAAGTTATTTAAAAAAAAAACATAGATTTTGAGGGTTAAAGTTTTGTAGTAATGTGGATAAAAGTTAGGAAAAAAAAAAAAGCTCCACAATTGAAATTTGGTATATACACCTGGGTGCACCGTGCACCCAACTAACCCAAGGTTAGTTTTTACTCTTCATTTGACGATTAAACGAATAATAAGCATCAAAATGAGAACAAAATACTCGTGGGTGCACCGTGCACCTGAGTGTATATAACAATATCTCAATCTCTATATAATTCCCTTAAAAAAAAAGGTAAATTCTCTTTGGTAACAATGTATTTTTTAATTTTCTCAATGATAAATTGTAAAAAAATCTTATTATCCAATGGTTACCTTAATGAAACAATTTAGTGAATGTTTAACCATGATAATTAACATTTTTTTAACAAAAAAAAATGAAAATCCTAAAATGCCCTTACTTAATACACTAAATACACTCAAATTCCTAAAATATCCTCACTCAAACCCAAAAGATTAAGGAATAACTAATGGCAAAGACTTTGATGGCAGAAGGAGAAGCGACGGTTCGTTCGATTTGAGTGATTTAAGCGATCTTGTCTTGCAGAGTCATACGAGAAAGAAGGTCTTTGATTCGCTCTTCAATGGATGCGTTAGGGTATTTGTAAATGAAGGTTTCTTCCACGGCTTCCAATTCGGTTCAGTGATTTAGAGGAGAGAGACTGGAGGTGTCGGAGGGGCAGAGTAAAGGGGGGCTGCCGAGTGCCGGCAGGCTGAATGGAACTGACCGATGGCACAGGGAAGGAGGGGAGGGGGACTGCCCGGCTGGGTTGCTGATTGACTACGATAAATTTGCATAAACCTCAACCTCCTCGGCCAATTCAAGACCCCAAATGTTCTTATAGTGATCTTAATAATGAGCAGTATTGGTTGTTGTTGGAGTATATGTATATCTATGTAAACAGTTGTGAAGTTTAATACCAACTACATGAATACGTAGAGCACTACTCGTAGTACATTCTTACGACCCATTTGACGATACATGATATATATATATATATATATATATATATATATATATATATATATATATATATATATATATATATATATATATATATATATATATATATATATATATATATATATATATATATATATATATATGGGTGGGATCATGTGAGAACCAAGGCTTATATGAGAACCCTCTTAAAATAAGAACCAATCTTACACCATCAATTTTGAGATTATGGATGGCTGAGATTAATTATCACTTTCCATGCATTTTCTTGGGAACACGCATTTCAGTCATTGGTACATGCTTTTTAATTTTCTTGGGAACACGCATTTCAGTCATTGGTACATTTCACACATATGGTATGGAACAATGTATAATATTTATGGGACAGTAGTTCATATTTCTGGAACAATATAAATAATATTCGAATGAAATATTATATGAAACATCAATGATATTTATGTATAAAACAATATCACTAGTATATGAAACAATACATATATTTTATGGAACATAAGTAGTATAAAATGAAACATAAGGTATGTTTTTTGAAACATCAATAATGTATAAGAAATCACAGTAAACCTAGTTCATATAGAGCCCAACTATATGAAACAAGCAATAATATATATGAAACATTAATATTATAAATTGAAACACTTAATATATTTTATGAAATATCATTAACGTACACCAACTACATTTTAACATAACGCTGACAACACAATTCAATGTAACATTACATTTTTTATTTGAAACAGCGACAAGTCTTTTTGAAACAATAATAACATCTTTTGAAACATCTCAAAATTATATGAAACAATAGACTATTGTCAAATAGTATTTACATTGTTCCAGAAATATGAACTATTGTCCCATAAATATTATATATTGTTCCATACCATATGTGTGAAATGTATCAATGATTGAAATGCGTGTTCCCAAGAAAATGCATGGGAAAGTGATAATTAATCTCAGCCATCCATAATCTCAAAATTGATGGTGTAAGATTGGTTCTTATTTTAAGAGGATTCTCACCTAAGGGGTGGGTTCTCACATGATCCTATATATATATATATATATATATATATATATATATATATGTGTGTGTGTGTGTGTGTGTGTGTGTGTGTGGCCTAGAGTGATTAAAGTGGTAGTGGTAATGAATTTTTATACTTTTATGTAATATATTAAAATACCAAGTAAGATTTATTACATTCTTATATATGTCAATGTTTATATAAAATCGTGATAAAGTCTAGTGTCTCCATCCTAAACATTGTATCTTCAAAACTTTAGTTAATATTTGTTGAAGATGAAAATGAAAATGAAAATGTATGGACAATAGAGACATCCGAGGTGATTGTGAATGTATCCCTAGCTATATATATTATCACGCTATAAATATTAATTATCATTATCATTATCATTATTTATCATCATTGTCTACCAAACCAGTCGTCATTAAATCACTTTACTTGATAAATAAGAGATAAGATTGATGTATTTAACAACAAAATCACTATATATTAATAGAAATTTTAATATTCCATACAATTAAGTAATGCGTGTGTTCACCACTCCTCTTCAGATCAACTTGGGAACTATATTTAGATTACGGTTTTTTTCACCAAATACCACTGAGTTTTAACATAATTCACCAAATACCACCAACATTTTTCAAATTCACCATATAACATTAAGTTTTATAAAAATGTCACATCATGCCCTTTCCATTAACTTAGTTAGTCATTAACGTTAATTGTGCCACGTGGCAGCTTGTAATTAGTTCTTATTAATATTATTTATTTAATTAATTAACTTTAGAAAAATTATTAAAAAAAATTAGAAAATAAAATAAAACACCACCAACTGAACCACCGCTGCCCCCAGCCCAGCCCCAAACCCCACCCGGGCTGACCATCTCTTTCCCTCGCCGGCAACAATCTCAACTTCAGCCACCTCTCCCTCTCGAATTCCTAGCCACCACCTTAGCAATTCCTCTCTCCCTCCCGAATTCCCCAGCCACCACCTTAGCCCAATTCCCGAGCCACCACCATAGCAGAATTCTCCAGTCACCTTCGCTAGCAGCCCAAACCCTCTCCCACACGTCGCCGCCGCCCAACATACCAAAAACCATCACCCCAAAAACATTAAACACCAAAATCAAAACCCTAGAATTTGGTTTTAGGGTTTCAGCGTACGTGGTGGTTCGGTGAGGTGGAGACTGCACCGGGAGAGACGAATTAAGTTCGCCGATGTTAGGGTTTAATACTTTGATTCTACACAACTAGAATCAAATAACAATGGTGGACAAACCCTAGAATGTGTATAAAATTCAATTAAATACACAACACCAAATACTTAAAGTATTATCACAAACCAAGCACTAAATTAACAATATAATTCAGAAATTACAACAAAAATAACACTAATGTGAATGGTTCTTTACTTGTCTCTCTCCAAGCCGATATCCACCAAGAACATGAGAAAAACAATGACCACGTGAGTCTTCTATACCGGATACTTGACTAAGGCGTGTATACACTTTCCTAAAGTGATAATTTCCCCCACCACGGTGCTTGGGTTGAAACCGGAAACTCACTTTGAGATACAATAGTCAACACCACACTCTAAGCACAAAGATGTGTGATAAGATGAATAAATTCTCAATCAATAAACTTAATGATGGAGAAATTAAAGAAGAGTTTGCAAGATTCTTCAATAAAATTATAGAGAGAAGAGAGAGTTTTTCAGAGAGGAATATTATGTTCTGTGTCTCAAAAACCAAAACATAGAAAACGATATAAAGGAAATAACCGCAAAAACCGAAGACGAGCGAGGAGGCGCGGGCGCGCCACCACAGCAGCGCGGGCGCGACCGAGGAGGCGCGGGCGCGCCACCATGGGCGCGGGCGCGCCACTTGCTCGCGCGGGCGCTCCTCCTCGTTCTTCCAAAATTCCAACTTTTCCAGAAACCTGACGCGATTTTGTCGCGGTTTAGGCGCGGGCGCGCCACTTGCTCGCGCGGGCGCTCCTCCTCGTTCTTCCAAAATTCCAACTTTTCCAGAAACCTGACGCGATTTTGTCGCGGTTTAGGCGCGGGTCGCGCCAAACCATGGCGCGGGCGCGCCTCCTAAACTTTACAGATTTTCCAGAAACTCAGCGCGATTTTGTCGCGCTTTTGGAGCGGTCCGCGCTTGTCTTTCACAAGCGCGCTAACAAGTGGAGCGATCTCTCCACTACAATACTCTAAATTATCCAACAGCCGACGCGAGGGAGAGGGGTTTGGGTGCCAGCCGGTGGTTAGGGGAGTGTTTTTCGAGGGAGATAGAGGGTTTTTAGGGTGCGAACACGGTGGTTCAAAGGAAGTGGAGCAGCACTACTAGGGGAATCTGGTTGGATTTCGGTGGCGCAAAGGGTATTGGCCGGTTTCGGGCCGGAGTGGGGGTTTTGGTCTGATTCCGAGCAAGCAGGTGTTGGTTGGCTGGGAGGACGTGGGTGGATGTTTGGATTTTTTTTATTTTTATTTTTTAATTTTTTGATAATTAATTAAATAAAAGGGGAACCAATTATATGTTGCCACGTAGCATTATTAGCCTTAATGACTAACGGTGTTAACGTCCGTTAGTCATTAATGGCATGTTGTGACATTTTCATAAAACTGAAGAGTATATGATAAATTTGAAAAATGTTGGTGATATTTGGTAAATTATGTTAACACTCGGTGGTATTTGATGAAAAGCCGTTTAGATTATTTACCACTACGTAATAGTCTAATACAGTTGACAA